ATCACTTGTTGTTCCCTTGTCCCTGAGTTTGTTAACACCACTTCGAAAGGAAGGATATTTAAGAAAAAAATGTGTTACTATTTCTTTTTTCTACAGAAAATGATACAGGCAACTGTTGGAGTTGAGTCATGGGAATCCTAGTCTTACCTGAATAAATCCGTGGTTATGAATCTGGGGTGTAGTGGTAAGAGTTGAGCCACTAACTGCGAGATCAGCAGTTTGAAACCACCAGCCGCTTTGCAGGAGAAAGAGGAGGCTTTCTACTCTAATAAAGAGTGACAGTCCCGGAAATCCACAGGGGCAGTTCTACTCTGTCCTATAGGATCGCCATTTGTCAAAATTGACTTCATCGGAGTGATTTTGGGGGAAGACGGAAAGAAATTTTCATCAAAATCTCCATCTGAGATTTTGTTGCTTTGTTACCATACTCCTAACTTCATCGGATGTGGCCCTTCGAGCAGATACGACTTAAAAGAAGCTGAAATCATCAAAAGGCTGAAACCTGCGTTAGAGTGACCGCCAGTGGCAAACGAGCTAAACTGCGACACTGAACATTGGATCATCCTAAGCAATTTATAATTGCACTTCCACCTTTCATTTTCATTATAACTATGGCAAATAATTGACCTTTAAATGTATAATCCACTGTTTTAGCCACGTGGTTCAGGCACACACTCTTAACACTGACCATTTTAAAACCCAGAATAAAAAAATTTTTTAACCATTGTTCTTCTGGGTAGCGAAATGCTATTTATGTCTCCTTGCATCTTAAAAATAAATATCCAAATCCTGTTCTTTGGGTGAGATAAACTTTGCTCTCACTATTGACAGCTTTTCGTTTCTACTTAAACTGGACAGGTATTAAGCAGTCTGGTATGAGATTTAATTCAAATCTTTAGACAGGACAAATTAGTGGTTAGAAAGGAGTAAAATAAAAAATAAAAGGAGCAAAATGGTCTCAAAGCATCTGATCAGAGAAAGGGAGGTACCCAAAGAAGTCCTCAAAGGAAGCTCCTTTGTCCTAGTCTTCCACTCCACATTCCAAAGGGGAGCTTAGAGTTGATTTAAAGAAAGGCAACTTAGAAGAAAACCGGCAACCCTTGTGTTACCTGGAGGGACTGCGCTTCTTGGCTCACTTGCCTGGTCCTCGCCCTTCTAAGGACCTGTGCTCCCGGAACCATGGGAGAGTCCTCAGCATATAAGCAGCTACCAGCAGAACTGGTGGAACACCCGCATGCCAAAATAGCTGAATATGGCTCACCATTACTTATCCAAAATGACTTTTTTTTTTTTAACGAAAAGCACATAGCTTTAAGGGTACCTCAGGAGCTCAAATCTCTGGAGACTTGTGAGGCTAGAGCAAGTCTAGCTGATGTTCACAGTGTGTGTCTAGGGCTGCTGTTAGTGGGAACCAACTCCTGGGCAGCTAGCAACTATCACTGAGAAAGTCATCTTTTAACATGGGGAAGAGGATTCGGAGCCCCAACTCTTTCTTCTTTTTCCATTTGTTTCATCATTTAGCAAATAGTTATTTACTGTGGGATAAGCAGGGGCTGCCAATCACAAGTTTGGTAATTCAAAATTACCAGCTGCTCTGCCTAAGAAAGATCCGCTTTCGGCCCCTGTGAAGATTTATAATCTTATACACCCTAAGGAGCAGTGACCTCTCTTCGGTCCTTTTGGGTCTCCAGGTGTCAGGATCAACTCGATAGCAGTGGATTTATGCCCTGCAGCTGATGGGGCCATTCGAGTTCTCTTGGACAATGAGATCAAAATAGAAGCCTAGTGTGTTAGGTTTTGTGTCAACCTGGCAAGGCCAAGATTCTCCCAGGATGTAGTCAAGCATAATGTACTCATCTCCACAAAGGGATCTTCTGTGAGTAGTGAAGCAGATGTGGGAAGAACAGGGTGGAGTGCTACCTCCTTAATCAGGTCAAAGCCTGGACGTAATTGAAAATTTCCTTGAGGGTGTAACCTACACCTCGTTAAGCAGACTCTGGGGGAAGTCTCCCTCCTCAGTCTTACTGGGTCCGGACCCTTTCTCTGTCTCCTCAACCTCTGTTTCTTGGAGCCAATGACCCACTATATTGCCTGTCAATCACAGGAACTACCAGCAGCCTGCTGTATTGCCTATCAACCTTGGATTCATTTGGCTCTGCCTCCGCCACTCTGTAGTATTCCAACTTCCTGGTGACCCAAGTGTGTGAGTCAGGAAGAGCCTCCAAACATCTGACCTACAGACAAACCATGCTGGAGATTTACCCTCTTCTACAAGTTTGTGAGCCAGTCTCTTGACATGTGTGTGTGTCCATTTGTAAATAGAGTGATATATATATACACATATATATTCTATCTCAACTCTCAAACTCACTATTATCAAGTCACTGCTGACTTATAGCAACCCCCTTGGGTTTCTAAGACTGTAAGTATTTATGGGAGTAAAAAGCCCAGTCTTTCTCCCAAGTTGCTGCTAGTGGTTTTAACTTCAGACCATGTAGATCACAGCCCAACACCCAACCACTAAACCACCGGTTGTGTGTGTGTGTGTGTGTATGTGTGTGTGTGTGTATGTGTGTGTGTATACAAACTCACTGCCGTCTCAGTTACAACTCATAGCAACCATGTAGGGCTGGGTAGAACTACTCCTGTGAGTTTCTGAGACTCTAACTCTTCACAGGAGTAGAGAGCCCTGTCTTCCTCCTGCAGAGAGGCTGGTGGTTTTGAACTGCTTACCTTGCAGTTAGCAGCCCAACATGGAACCACTATACTGCCAGGGTTCCATATATTCCATATATATGAGGGCATCTTTAACTTCTTCCACTATTGACCCTTTTTTGCTCAATATTTTTCCAACACAGGTATGTGCTTCTGGAAACACATCATATTCATTATTCATCTGATTTTGAATTGATTTTTGGTCATTACACATTTAGAAACCTTTTACCATTGCCAATTTTTTTGTGTGTGTGACTCTACATTCAGTTACATGACCCCATATGGGGTTTCAACCCACAGTTTAAGAAGCTTTGTTCTAGAGAACCCAGCCTAACACATTCGGTACCAAGAGTGGTTGTACAGAAACAAAATCATAAGGATGAGTTGTCTAAATTCATTCTCCGGTCTGAGTAGACTTCCAGGCACTGAGAACTCTACCTCTGCCTCTGTTAGTATGAAGCAATATGCCAGTTAGTAAAGAAGGTGCTGTTAACCATTGGTGTGAGGTGGCAATGTTGATACCCAAAATATCATCACAAGTAAATAAAGTGTTGAGAAGGGAGACTCTGGGTGATTGAGTGCTT